TGTGTGCGCATTTTCAAGTGTTTCTTTAAATAAAATGTTTTGTATTGTATTAATTTCTGAAAATTACATTATTCTTTTTTTTTCTTGTAGATGTTGTGATGGTAGGGGCTGAAGATACAGTATTGTCACCACCAGAAGGCAACATGACCTTTTTAGGTGGTACGAATTGGTGTGTTGCTTCACCTGGTGCATCGCAATCCGATTTACAAAATGCATTGGACTGGGCCTGCGGGTTAGGTATGGCTGATTGTAGTCAAATTAAACCTGGAGGGCCGTGTTTTGAACCTGACACACTATTTTCACATGCATCTTTCGCTTTCAATAATTACTACCAACAAAACGGGAATTCCGATGTTGCTTGCAATTTTGGAGGGAGTGCAACTTTGACAAAGAATGATCCAAGTAAGTTTATTCCGGATGAAAATTCGTCAAATCAAGGGTAGCCAAATTGTTGAGTTTGATTTATTCTTTAAATAAACCAAAATACAACATTTCTGATGACTTACTATATCTTTGGCTTGTTTTGCACGACAGGCTACGGGAAATGCAGCTACACCGCATCTGGGTAAGATGATACTTAGTCTTTTACATTTTTGTAAAACTGACCAAAAAAAAACATGATAATATGGTTGTAATCTAACCATTTTCAAGAAATTGATAATCAGTTCCAAATGAAACTTCAGGTTTTAGATTCGAACAATCATCCAGTTTGTCATAAAATAATCTAATTGTACAATATAACTCACATGAATAATGTATTATAATATGTCTATAAGTCAATTGATTGTTGCTAAAAGTTTATAAAGTAAAGGCTTAATGTATATTTTTTTTCCTTCTAGGCCAACAAAATCAGAAGGGGCCTCTATATGGAAGTTAAATTGGTGGAAAAGTGGTGGGATTGTATTGCTTTTGTACATGGGAAGCTAACATTGAATTAGAAGGTAGGGAGGGTGTCTTTGATGTTGGTTTAGGAATCTTCTTATACGTCATTTTTGTAATTTACTTAAAACTAGAAATAAAGTCTTGTAATTGGATTTTAGTATTCATTATACTATTATGTCAGTTTTCTTTATCATCTGATGTGATAGCCTTGGTTTTTAGTTCTTGACATAGTTGAATTGGGACGAATGTGGACAAGGTAATTAGGCTCTTTTCGTAATTTCGCATATTTAAATACATACAAGTTTACGCTAACCTTTATTTCATTTATTACTTCGTTTAACTTTCTCAATCTTATTAAGTATATGTTTATCTGGATAAAAAAATAGATTAAAGTAATGTAGTTTATATAATTATTAAGACTGTTTTTTTAGTTATATAATTTTATATAACTAAAAACTTATAACTTACCATAGGGCATAGACATTTCATTTTTCGAGACCTGAAGCCATCTTGGGCTTATTTAAACCCAACTTTCCTTTAGCCCAACACTTGGATATTATCCAATATTAGTTCGGATATAAGTAAATTACGAAGACAGGTTGTTCACTTTGAGCAAATATTGATTTTACCAATTAGAAGTTAACATTAGATATAAAATAACATAAAATATGCAAATTAAAAATTCATATCCAATAATGAAGTTACGTAAAATAAAAATTAGGTTTCAATGAATTAGATTTAACAAGAAAATAACATATATACAATCTAAATGGTTGTTTTGGTAGTCTTTTAATTTTTCAATTAAGAATAAAACTCTTAATTTGTCGGTTTCAGAGCGTTTGATAGTCTTTTAATTTTAGCAGCAGCCTCTTAATTTCTAAGAGAAAGAGTTTTATCTGAATAAAAAATAAAAAAAATGTGTTCCGAATACCATATTTTTCAGTAAATGTTTTTTTCTTTTCTTTCTATTTCACATAACCACCTCTATTTCCCCATCCGACCTCTTAAGAATTTTGAAAATCAAACCTCGTAAAAATTCAGATTATACCAAACAACTAAGGAATACAATTTCAACCAATAAATAATTTAGAAAATGTCATATAACAAATACAAGTAACGGGCTTCAATTTCTACAAATATATGAAATTTAAATTAACAAGTCGCATTAGTTTGTCAGCAAAAATCTTTTAATCAATTTAGTTGACAATTTACACGCATAAAAAGTTAAAGTCTTTTGCAAATAACTGAAAGCAATAAATAGATGGTTATGTACAATTTGCTAGAAGAAATCCAAGCATTAAGTTTTCATAAATTTACCAAAAATCACCAAAAAAAAATGGTAGACATGTTAAAGAGCAGTAAGGCATAGAAAATTAAACATATAACTTTTGACAATTATAGAAAAACTTCAAATAAGCATTTTAGGATTTTTAATATAGAGTATATGCACATAGTCACCTTAATGTAAAGTCTAACACACGAAAAAATGTATTAATGAGGTTCCATAAGGAAGTCCTAACCACATATTTACTACTAGTTGTGAATCACATGTATTATATTGGTTAATTTATATA